ACGTAGGTATAAAATATTTTACCGAAAGATCCAAAGAGTATGGATTCCTGCAGTCACAAAATCTTCAAATCAAGATTGTACCATATCCACTTCGTACTCTGTACGTCGAATGGGCCATTATTATGACACGTTTAGTCAATCCACTGCTGGATGAGGGCCCTCCCTCACACCGTGCGGGTCGTGGGGGATATTTGACCATACTTCACCACGAATCACAGTGCGGGTTGATGAAGGCGCGGGGAGTATGGACATAGGAGCGTAGAAGTGCGGTGCAACAATTGTGTTTTTACTGCGGTGCCCCGTATTGCCGACCGTGCAGCCCTGTTGGTTGTTGTCCTTCCCCCTCACCTATGATCAGCACGGTTGGCTACCTACGGTGTGAAAGAAGTTCAGCATACATCAGCGTACATATGGTGCTCGCACATCCGGTCTTCCTGCTTAGCTTCTGAAATCTGAATACACTGGGATGCCTTCCAGGTGGTTTGGTCATCGGCAAAACTAATTCATTTCCCCCAAATTCAACACGACTCTTGTTTATGACCGGATTTGTTTATTGCGATTGGGTTTTTTCCCCCTGCCTTTATGTGACACGCAGATTAAGCTATTCATCTTGATAAATGTTCCGGGTAGACCCAGGCTAACCGAAATCAAAAACTGCCCGTACATGTACGTATGTATTTACGTTGAACTTCTTTCGCACAGTACGTAGCCAACCGTGTTAATCGGAGGTGCTGGACAAACTATCTCCTGACTGTTCACAGTTTAACTCTCTTGGTCCTGTGCTGGGACTCAGAACTTGCACAAGATGCACCATTATGGCCTCCATCGTGGCTCAGGTTTTTTTTTAAGAAGAGCCCCGGGGTACGGAGCACAAACTGCGACGTAGGGAGTACAAAAACTCCGCATAGCCCAGCTTAAATGCACGGAGGGAAAGCGGCGGTGGGGGGAGGGTCGGTCGGAGTTGCGGAAAGACACGTGTTAGACTGGTGTGGGCGCCGCGATGGGCAGCACGGGGTGCCGCAGTGTGAAAAAACAATTGTTAAAATCAAACGCCTGAGGGTCGTATTGGAGGTGTGCAAGCGTCGATGTGTTGATGCGCTCAAACGAAGTGAGAATTCACCATAAACTGGTCCCTGCAGTTGTCTGACACCTTGAAGCAAGTGGCACCGTCACTGCTCGGAACTGATTTTCCATCGCTGTTGTTAATCTCTAGATCCGAGCGAGCACTTAGAATATCGGCTCAAGGTTGTCACAGTAAATTAGGATTTTGTGGTTTGCACCCACTGAAATGTATGTATGTATGCATTCACACAGATTGTGGAAATTAAGTTGTAGTTAGATAATAGTTTTATCTTGGAGAGGAAAAAAAATAACATGAATTTGATTAAACAATTGTCTTTGACAAATGACAGCTGAATAATGCACGTGAAACTGGTTGGATTAAATAATATATGTTTGTTTATATTTTTGCCATTCAAATGTTATCTCAATCGTGCTATCATTCTAGATTTGAAGCTTTAGTGACTGCAAGGATTCATATTCTTAGGTTTTTTCGGTAAAGTCACGTAGGTAAAAAATTAAAATGAATAAAAGTAAAATAAAATAAAAATCACGACGTTTCGGAGGCACCACAAGCTTCCGTCTTCAGGTGGAACCGTCACAGCCCGACAGCTGTATCAAGTAAATGAGAGATTACAAGAGATACCACTCCGTATATATATGCTATCATGTTGTAAGATGAAGTATCCAGTTAGATCCTTGAGTCAGGGCAGTGTGAACCAGAGGTGTGGACTCGAGTCATGTGACTTGGACTCGAGTCAGACTCGAGTCATGAATTTGATGACTTCAGACTCGACTTGGACTTGCATAACAATGACTTTGTCCCACCTCTGAGGTGTGGACTCGAGTCATGTGACTTGGACTCGAGTCATGAATTTGATGACTTCAGACTCGACTTGGACTTGCATAACAATGACTTTGTCCCACCTCTGAGGTGTGGACTCGAGTCATGTGACTTGGACTCGAGTCAGACTCGAGTCATGAATTTGATGACTTCAGACTCGACTTGGACTTGCATAACAATGACTTTGTCCCACCTCTGGACTGTGAACCCTTCCCGTGAGAGAGCAGCCCACAGGCATAAATATCACGGAGCCCTATCCGACATCCCTTCAAGTGACCTCTGTGCCACAAAGTCACGTGTGCAGCACTTCCCACCAACTCTCACGCTAATCGCAATCTTAATTTATACAAGTCAAATTGATGTTTAACATTTTCAGAGCTGTAATTTACAAAGAATTTACTTCTTAACATCTCGCCACAGTGGCGATGTTAACTTCCTCGCCTGCTAAACAGGAGGTCATGTGTTCGATCCCGACCCTGATGCTTGTATATTTGGAGTTTGCATGTTCTCCACTGGGTCACGTGGACTTTTCTCCGGGTCCTCCGGTTTTCCCCTCCACATTTAGAATCGACGTGCGTTTTGAGTATATGGCTGCTATGAATTTCCATGTGACAAGCCACTTCGTTGAGCTATCATTTGTGATCAACAGGTCGCTTCTGACAAAAGCTATTAAGTTCCGTGGGCCTTACCTGGTAAAATCGAAAATAGTTATAGTTGTTAAGTTAAGTATCAGAACCTAAATTTAAGGTGATGCGTTTTTTTTGTCCAGCCATGGTTGACCTGGCTTAGACCATCTACTCTCTATGCTTGAGTACTTGGTTTTAGTGACGTGCGACTGCCAGGATTTGAACCCAGGATCTCTATCGTTGCCCGCTTAGCGCCCTTACCCTCTGGCTAGATTTTCTGTTTTCGGAATAATATATATTCAGGCAGCTGGTTGTCGTAATGCTTTGGAGCCACTCGCTTTCAATTATTTCTTGGTTCAATCCAACATCATCTACGTAACGATTACGTGAACCGAGGGGCAATGACGTCAGCCGACCATGCGGGCCAACTCAATTATACGATTGTGAAAGATCCATAGACATCGTTCTCCGGAATAGATGCGATGTATCAATGCTAATTTACGACAAATTTCCACTACGGATAAATTAAGATTTCCCCCCCCCCTCCTTTAAAAATGCTTCTAATCTACGCTCGATAAGGGAGGTGCAACCCAAAAAGACGGAAATAGTTTCATCTTGTAGATGCGCACACAGGCTTTGTGTTGCAGGCTGTCCATCATAATTTTGAAGGTGTCTGAACCAGTCTGTAGACTTTCAAGTTATTTTCAAGCGTGCCATTATAGTGCTCTGGCGATGTCACTTTCAATCATTGTTATACGCCCATACAGTACTTTTTGGGTTGTATTTTCGTTCAAGACATACCCTTTGGTAAAAAAACTTTCCCAAAGCCATGTACAGGTTTCGCTCACTTTTTGCGGTAAATACGTTTCGCAAAAAGGGCGTTCAAAGCGAAACCACTTCAGGAGACAGCTGTCAGCTGAATAGCGCATAGCGGTACACAGGGTACATATACAGTGTTGTATGTCTGTAGTTGAGACAGCTGCCTACTGCGTAGCGCTTAGCAGGACACGCACAATGTTTTCTTGCCGTGGATTTCACACCTGGTGACGATTGCTCGTGTTGCAGTCGAAACGTCGTGATAATTTTTCTTGTTTTATATGTATATTATTTTATTACTTCCCTTCTACGTGACTTGACCGAAAGAACCAAGAATATGAATCCCTGCAGTCACGAAAGCTTTAAATACAAATTTAATACGCACAATGTGGTCCCACGTCAAGCGCATAGCCACGTACGAGTGAATTAAAACCGCATGATGTCGCAAAATTTGGGTTGAAATAGGTTTGCCGCACATCCGTGAAAATTGCACAAACCGAAACCCGCGTAAAGCAAGGGAAACCTGTGTACTGTGTAGATATAGAACTGTTCATCTATTTTCAAAGATGATGGCTCTGCACCATGTTCTCTTTTTAAATCCTTTATATTAAGTTCGCTTGCTTGCTTGCTTAGGACCGTGCAAATCTTTCGGTCGTTTTTTAACCCACTTCCCGTGATCCAATCGAGCTGACATTTTCCACACAGACTCGTTGTGCCAGACAATTATTGTTCGTGAAAAAAAATTCCCAAAATTTTACACTTTTTAGGCAAAAAAAAATTATTTTACATATATTCAAATAGAACGCATTCATGGCTTTGGCTGAACGTCAGAGTGTAAGAGCCCAGAGCGTAACCCCTCCACAGGCCGTGGCGGAGTAGCGCAGTTGGTAGCGCCCTCGCTTCCCATGCCAAAGGTCGCGGGATCGATCCCCGCGTCCTCCACAGGCGAATATATTTTTTAAATCCTTTATATTAAGTTCGCCGCCACGCATATAAAGGATTTATAGTGAAAAACTTTGTTTTTACGGGTTTACTTGTTAGCCGTTAAGTCCGATCCCTGAGGTGCAATGTCACGAACACATGTCGCCTAAGAATCTGTGAGCTTCACTGAAGAGTCGGTGTGATGCTTGACCTCTTTTAATGCTTCATAGCAAAACATTTTTTAAGCGGTTATGCATTAGCTCTGTACGTCCCCTGTGCCCGTAACGTGAGGTGCGAATTGAGTTCCGATAACACACTCAAACCTGATCCATTGTTAATTAAATTTTAATCAAACGTCCCTTGGCATTTCAGGACTTTGGTTTTTTAAATAAATTCAACAAAGGTTTGTCCAACCAAAACTTAACGAACGCATACCGGAGCAAAATATGCAAACACTTTTTTTCCCCTCCGACAGCGACTTTGTTGCCTTTCGTTCACTGTGTGGGTCATAGGAGTCGTGAAACCACGCATCTCCGCACTGATCAGTGCGGGCAAGTGAAAGCCGGGGGCATATCCACGAAGTACATCGATGGATTGTGCTGCACTGTCGTCTTCGCATCGGCCATCGCGGTGAAATTATTTCACCGCCGCTCGTGCCTGCCGCCACAGATGTTTTAAAATAACAAAAACAAAGCTGACAATTGCCTGCCTTGTGTGTGTGTGTGTGAGCGCAGGACCCCATCTTGCGGAGGTCAGGCATGTACACGGTGGCGATGGCATACTGTGGCTCCGGCAGCAACAAGGCGATACGACGTCTGCTGCACGTCGCTGTGAGTCTCCCGATGCGTTTGCTCGTTGTGCCCCGCTAGGTTTTCGCGATCGTCCCCACGGTGTTTTCTTTTCGGGGTCGGGTACCGAGTGCTGTTCATTTCGATCTCCCAACGTGCTGGGCGGATTCTCTCCAGGAATCGGAACGTTTCGGTTCCTGAAGTGAAAATTAGAAATGTGATTGTAATGCACGTATGTAGCCAACCGTGTTAATCAGAGGTGCGGTGGGGCGGAAAGACAACAAACTAAACACACAAAGCAGTTCTAAAGAAATTAGTTGTCAATCTATATTTAAAAGTGCATAGCTCCAGTGGCTTCCTAGTATGGAAAGGAAGTGCCTACCATTCGGCCTCAGAAGCACATTTGAAAGCGCACGTTGCGGTGACCATCTTTGTCTGATGGCTAGCCAAAAGCCTCTGCCGCTGCGAGGATGACCGGAGTTGGCATGATGGTTTATGCTCATTGACGAGATCGGCAAGGTTATTGTGGTTCATTGGTGGCAAGCATTTTGTGTGTAATGAGTGCGACGTTATAATGTAAATGAGAGCAGTATTACTCTTTGTTTTTTTCCGGTAAAGTCATGTAGGTAAAAAATGTAATAAAATAAATGAAAACGACAATTAAATCACGACGTTTCGGATGCAACACAAGCGTACGTCATCAGCGTGGCCTGCTGCTGATGACGGACGCTTGTGTTGCGCCCGAAACGTCGTGATTTAATTGAGTTGTTTTCATTTTATTTTAATTTTTACCTACGTGACTTTACCGAAGAAAACCAAAGAGTATGAATCCTTGCAGTCCATGAAAGCTTCAAATCGAGAGCAGTATTCTCAATTTCCACCACTGGCTTTGAACCAGTGGTGGAAATTCTGCATCGTTTATATCATGTGCCTGCTAAGCCACACGATAATTGTTTGCGTCGCACGCAGCGAAAGTGGGACTTGTTTTAATCGCCTGTGTAGTCACGATGTCCTGGGTTGGCCCCTGACTGTTATTTGAACTCGGGATTCATACGGCAAAGTCTTGCACTTTAACCACAGTGGACCGCCTGGCCAGATTGTATGTTTCATGTCTCTGAAACCTATTTCGGCAAGAGAACTACATGTCCTGTTCTGGAGAGAGATCCATTTTTGGCTCAAACAGGAGGTTTTTTGTTTTGTTACGTTTGCGAAAATAAGCAAATGTAACTTTTCGTGGACATAGCCACCATGATTTATATCACCGCAGCACATTGTAAGATTTAAATACATTTTAAATCTTCAGTAACATTTTACATCGCTTATCAAATTTAAAACGATATCAACCGCCCAACGGGAATTAATCGGCGCTGAAATTGCACCGATAGTTTTCAGTGCCGTCTCGTGGCCTTGGCAATAATGCAGTAATATCCTCTCCAGTCTACCTCGGAAAATATGCCCGTGTGCAGCTTGCTTTGATCCCCTTGGGTGGTTCAGTACTCAATCTGGGCACATGAGCCAAGTGCCTCCTTTTGGCAAAAAAAAATGTACGCTGACATTTTTTCCCGAGTTTTGTGCGCATGCTACCCCAAGAGTGCTCAATCATTTTGATTCATTGCCCCCCTCTCCCCCTTCCGTCAATGCTGTTTGTGTTTGTTGCATGGCTGGAACCCTCGTACTTTGGCTGTCCTCGTAGAGATTAGAGGTCTTTGCCAAAGGAGCTGCGGGGTGGGGAGGAATTAATCCACAGCGAGAAAAGTGGAGTGCTTGAAAAGAAAGCTGACGGGAGTGGATTGGCCGTGCGTTGGGTGTTTATGCATGTGTTCATGTACAGCCCTCTTATTCTTCCACCGCCTGTGGTTAAATAATCACCACGATCCACACCATGTGGAGAGGCTCTCATCCAGCAGTGAGTCGGACAAAGGATTCATATTCTCCTAAGAATATGAATCCTTGCAGTCACGAAAGCTTCAAATCTGGAATAAACGGACAAAGGATTGTTGTACAGGTACTCTTGCACATTTTTAGGTAAGGGCTTAAGGAGAAAAGAGTGAGTTTTTTATATATTGCCCCTAGCTATTTTAATTCCACATCTATCGAACATTTTTCACGCAGATGGTTTTTGCCCCGTGATGCCGTAGGGTGAACCGCAACAGGAGCTTAAGCCTGAATTTGCTCATTAGTCATGCAGTGGTCTGTCAGTCAGTGGCAGATAAGGGATTTAAAATCTTTCCGTTGGACGCTAATGACATTAACTTGCCGTTAATTTGAGCGTTATTTATGAATGTGTTTTATTAGACCGAATAACACCAAATGGATAAGTAGGTACATTTAAATAAACTGGTTAAGCAAATATGTGCTACGATACATTTGGTTTCGCATTTTATTTTTAATGTTTTATGCATTAAAAATGTATCCGCTGTTTTTTTGCTGGCTTTAAATGAAACACCGTTGCAACTGTTTCACCTGTAATTGTCCCTTGCCTGGTTAAGACTATAGGGTCATCTCTCTGTGACCATTAAAATAATTCATTTACAACCGCATGAGTAACATCAACAACAGGCCGATGCACACATCTTCATGAATGGAAAAATGAAAGACCAAGTCCCTGCAGTGTGATTGTGGCCATGCAACCCTAACTAAGAAGCGTACACTTAGCCCATAGAGACGTATTGCGGTATATCGAGACCCAGAGATACATTAAAGACAAGCCACAGTAGTGTGATTTTAGTCCTGCAACCCAAACCATAAACCATATAGTAAGCCCGTAGAGACACCTAGAGACTCGGAGATACATTGAGATACATTAAAGACAAACCACAGTAGTGTGATTTTGGTCCGGCAGCCCAAACCATAAACCATATAGTAAGCCCGTAGAGACGCCTAGAGACTCGGAGATACATTGAGATACATTAAAGACAAGCCACAGTAGTGCAATTTTGGCCATGCAAACCAAACTATGGACCACATCGTAAACCACTGGAATCTGCGCTCCAACGGAGGAGGAACAGCCAAACTGAATTAAACTTTCCTAAAGCCCTCTTGCCGTGGCCAGCGGCAGACCTCGACATTGCCATTTAGCTCCCGAACGTATGGCTGCCGCCATCATGCGCGGCAATAGACAAATAATGTACGCGTATTTCCTAGGGTGTATTCGGAAGGAGAGCCAATTGACGCTGTTTCGATTGCAAGGGAGCACCCCGTTTTAATGGTAGTGGCGCCATACGCGGTGCTTGCACACCACCCCCATCCCGGGGGCGCCATGCCGTCCTTAATTGAATTGGTGTTCGCTAACAGCAGTGGCCCCAACAGTGTGCAAAGCTTCACTCTGTGTGTGTGTGTTTCCGTGTGGTGCCACAGGTGAGTGACGTGAACGATGATGTCAGGAGAGCGGCTGTGGAGTCCATTGGCTTCATCTTGTTCAGGTAGGAGTCGTGCTATTGTTGCGTCCTTCCGACTGTGTCTCACACGAGTGCAAATATTTGCAGGTGTGAACAATTTTGGGTACGAAATGATCACGTTCTGTGCTTGATTGTAGCCATGTTAACGATGATATTTATTTGTCTATCAAAAGCAGAGGTGGGGAATCTTTTCTTTTATTGAAGGCTGGATAGAATTTTCAAATACATTTGGGAGACCACACATGAACACGTATCTTGCCGTTATCCGGCAATAACACTAAATTTAATGTGTGTGTGCCGACCGTGTGTAAAGCCGTGCTAACATTATCGGCACAGTGTTGCCTGGTTAAATGTTTCCCTCTCGTACCTGATTAGTGTAGCCAAGATGCTGTCAGTAATGGATAAAGGAGTGGTTTGCACGTGGGAGAGAATGAGTACCCAGAGAAAATCTACACAAACATACTAAGGGGGGACAGCAGTTAAATGTCCGCAGCGACGGGTTCGGATTCCACTTGCCGCATTATTTCTTGGCCTCCTGGCAGCCCAGGAGGTTCGAGTTTTACAAATGTAACGTCATCCACAAGCCCTTCCTATAAATTTCCGTATTACTGTTGTGCACCACCACCTCCAATTAGCGCGGTTGTATACGTACGGTGCTAAAGAAGTTCACAACATACATTCATACCAATCCCACCCTGAAAAGTGTGTGGTGAGCTTCGATCAAACAACCTCCATGACCCGCATTGTGTGGGCGAGAAGACCCTCGGCAGAGTCGATTGACCCAAGGGCTGTCCCTGTGCGTATGCCACCACAGCATCCTGTTGATTCCAAGTCGTGATCAAAGCTAATATTTTTGTGGCCTTTACTGCACATGCGTTGTAAAAAAAAAAACTGAGTCGTAAAATTTAGGCGAGATTATTACGACTGCGATGTCTTTAATTGAATGATTAGCGTCACGGCTAATTAATGGATTCTCATTCGGTTTCATTAAACCCTACCCTTGTCTTGTATCATTAAACTCGTCGCTGCTGTGACTAGCGCGTGTGGTTTTGAATCGTGGCAGTCACAAAAGTTGTATTCCCTCGCGCAAAAAGTTTACAATGCATCAGAAAAACGCACAGGCCACGAACAAATGCGACCATAGCAACGTGCACATTATGGAATTTGAGTAATTTCTCTGCTCGCAAAGGTTCCCAAAGCATCGCATGTCCCCGTCATCTTGCAGAAACCGCCCTCCCACCCCCCCCCCCCCCCCCCCCCCGGTTGTAGCATCTCATAAATGAACATGATATAAGAGCGACGAAATGAGTGTACGTCAGATGAAAATGAAGATGTGTGTTGTCTCGCTCAGGGCTTGGTCCTGGAGATTTGGTGGGGTCGGGCGCTGTTCGTGATAGGATCAACGTTGGGGTGGGGGGGCCCGTTCTTACTGTTCCGTAAAAGTGACATCACGGAGAGGGGAGGAGCCTATTAGGCCTCGTGACATTACGCACGAGACCTTTAATACTTTAGCAACGGTCTCATTTTGTGCACTGTGGCTCTTGAAATTGGAATAGTGATTGACGCATTGATCTGCAAACTCGGTGACCTGAGTTCCATCCCTGTGCCAGGTGAAAAATATTACCCCCTTGTACCCGTTTAGAGCGGCTAAGGTGCTTACAGTGACGGATCTATAACACATTCCTGCGGAGGGAGCTGGTAGGAACGTTGGGTTGCTCGGTCAATGGCCAGGGTCAACGGCGGCGTGGTGTATTCCGCAAATATGCCTGACCTGAGGGCGGGCACAAGCCGGCGTGAGTAGGTTAAACGTTGAGTTTTATAAGGGCACCACGGGGTGACCAGCCCCTCCCCACCCAGCCCCACCTCTCCCACCCCCACCCAGCCCCTCTCTAGCCTCCCCACCCAGCCCCTCCCTCCCCACCCAGCCCCTCCTTGTACGACGGACACAATAATCCCCTGTGGGCTGGTGTAACCAGGAGGTTCCTACCAGTATATATATTGCCTGCAGGTTGTTTCAAATCGGTAGGCCCTATGTGGCCCCTGAGATTTGTGTTTCGTAATATTGCCATAATTAAAATTGCAAACATTACTGTATTAGCCGAGCTGTAATTTTCTCTGTGGAACATTCCAAGTTTTGTACCTCAAACTACGTACATGTTTTTTTACACTTTAATACATCAATTATAACACAGCCATTAACCCCGTGCGTAAAAGTGACATCATGGAGAGAGGAATCTATTAGACCTCGTGACATTGCACACGAGACCTTTCATTGTTTGGTAACGGTCTCATTTTGCACGGCGGCTCTTGAAATGTATTGCTCAGCAGCGCACACATTTACATTTTCAGTAGTGCTGCAATGTTTTTCCCATCGTGCTTTTCAACCGTGAATGCCTATTTTTAAAATCATAAACATATTTCTTCCTGCTCCATTGCACTAATGTTATTGATGGCTTTGGATTTTTTAAACCCATTTTTTAAATGCACTCCAAGTTGAAAATATAAAAGTTGTGCAATCGTTAAAAAAACGAACATGAAGTGACGTTTGTTTTTGGGGGCGTGGGGGCGTTTGCTTAAAAGTTCAAAGTGCTGAACTGGCACCGCTGAGGTCCTGTGTTTGATTCCAGACATCTGCCTGTGATTAATCCTGATTCTCATCCAGGCAGCCTCCACTGTAGCTATAGACTTAGATCGAAAACGTATTTCTTTACAACTGCTTTTGTTATGTTTAGTTTGTTGTCCTTCCCCCGCACCTCGATTAACGCGGTTGGCTACGTACGGTGTGAAAGAAGGTTGCGTTGGCTCGATCACCAAAGACTGCACTGAATGTGGCTAAATTCCACCTGTGTGTTGACTGTTATGTTATCCGACTCTCTGTTGTATTACATTACATTTCTAAGTACACTAGATTTGTGTTTCTATTTCATTTATACCTGATGATGATTGCTTGTGTTGCAATCGAAACGTCGTATGCTAGTATTTAATTTTTTATGTTATCTTTATACGTGACTTTACCGAAAGAACCAAGGAGTAAATTCCACCTCTTAAGAATCAACGACATCCTTTCTATAACTCGTGACGAGCATTACAGTCTCTGATAGAACCAGAGGGGAAAGTGCTGCCCCTTACTGCTCGCACTTGAAGGGATTTCACTTAGTTCTGTGGCAGAGGTCGCAATCGGGTACCCGATACCCGTACCCTACCCGATACCCGGCTACCCGTACCCAGCCGGGTACGGGTACCCGTTTGCGACCCTGGTGCGGCCGGGTACGGGTAGGCCGTGAGTCACTGGTGAGTAACCGTTTGTCACTCATTTCGGGTAGGGTACGGGAACGACCCTGGTACGGCCGGGTACGGGTAAGGAATCAAAACCCGTTTGCGACCTCTGCTCTGTGGTGTCTGCGTCTGTGGGCCATTCTCTTGACTGGAAGGGTTAAACGTGAATCCTTACGCAGGCAGCGCGTGGAGGTTGCGCCGTGTGTGCCTAATCACTCGTCAAGCTCTGTGCTGCGGTAAGGCTGCGAGATATTCCTTACGTCGCGTGATTTATGAGAAGCTTCCCAGAACTTTGAACTACTCGAGCATTTCAGAAATACATCACGAGATGGAAGCCCCAGGTCACTGCCATTCTGTCACTCTCCCAAGGCCACGCCTGAAGATTTAGTTCCCACTGCATGGCTGTCCAACCCGCTCTAAATAACACACAAAGACAAAGATCCCCCCCGCCCACCCCTATAGCCGTAACAGACTGTTGGGGCAAGTGCTGTTGGCGAGTAGCATCTACGAAGGTTGGCGCGTCACGCGATGGGGTTGGGTGGCCAGCACCTTGCCCGGCCGCCTTTGTCTCTCCAGGAGCGATGTTTACACACACCGCACCAGGTACTCATTTGAGGCTGAGTCAATTTAGAGTGAGGCCCGGAGAACGGCTGAGATAATCGTCACTGGCCTTCGTGGCTGTGGGAGCGGCAATCGCCGTTTTCGGAGTGCCGCGCGCCAACTGCTGTACTACCGCCCCTCACAAAATAATACAACACAATGAGTTCACATACACATGTAGAAAAGATAAATGTACTACATGTAACCTTATGGCCTGTTGGGAGGAAGCTGTTTAGCGAGTGGCTTTTCAGGCCGAGTACAAGGGGGTGTTTTTGGCTGGCACTACACCAGGACCACCTTTGTCTTCCCGGTATTGATGTTTACAAGCTGCACCGGGTACTCGCGCGAGGCTGATATGGCCTAGGGGGGAGGCTCAGGAAACGTTTGGTAACCCTCGCTGCTGTTCTTAGCCACGGACAAGAATTTAACAGGCTCCATAGCGCAGTGTATGGACCATAATGCATTGGGGTCTGCGGATGAAATGCGCCATATAAATGTAGACTATTATTGTCCCTACTTGCCACTCGCATAGACGCACACACTCGCATACCTACCGGGTCAATATGCTTGAGTCACTTCAGGGTTTTAGTCCGCTCGTGCATGAGAACTAAAATGGCATGTCTATTTTTATTATTCTTTTGTTTTTATATTATCCGATTTTCTCTTGGACCCCGGGGCTCTGTTATGTGAACTTAAAGCACACCTTTCTGATGTCATAATAATCTAAAGACTTTTTCAGAAGAGTGTAATTCAACCGAACATTGCATTTCCTTTTTTTTCCCCTTTTCAAAGAGCGTGTGTGCGAATGACGTGATGGAATTAAATGTATCACTCTGCCCGTTGTGCCATCTTTGGCAAGGTGTAGGCTCTATAATGTTTCCGCTGCTCATTAAGCTTAAATATGGACACTGTCCTCTTGACGCTGCATGCCGTGCGAAAATTATTGCCATTCATCGCAGCTGCCTAATTTGTTTTGTTGCATTCTCTTTGGTTTTCTGAAATCTCACATTACTAAGTGCTGAAGTAGCCAGCTCCTTCATTAAAGCCTTTCGGAGGATGTAAAAACTCACTCTAATTAACTTCGAGCATCACACTCATTGATTGCGTGTCTCAGTTTGGCTCAACGTGACATTAAAGAGCCCGGAATG